CCGCCCTCCCCCCTCCGGGGACTGTCCCCTGGTGGTCCCCGTGGTCCCTGTCCCCCCATCACCGTCTCGCCGGTCTCGGTGTCCGCGGCCAGGTGAGCTCTTACCTGCAGGGCTGCACAGACAGAGGGGGGGCTCAGCCTGGGGACCCCGCTGTGCCCCCGCAGTCCCGCTGAGCCCCCACTCCCAGTCCCTGGGGACACCCCCACACCTCCCAGGGCACCCCCACACCTCCCAGGGCACCCAGGACATTCCCGGGAACATCCCCCGGGACACCCCCACATCTCCAAGAGCACCCCCACATCCCTCCAGATCATTCCAGAATCCCCAGGACACCCCCACACTCCCAGGGACACCCCAGGACACCTCCAGGACACCTCCAGATCCCCAGGACACCCCCAAGACATCCCCACACCCCCGGGACACACTCCCACTTCCCCAGAACACCCTCAGATCCAAGGACACCCTCAGATCCCCAGGACACCCCCAGGACACCTTCAGGACAGCCCCAGATCCCCAGGACAGCCCCAGACCCCCAGGACACCCCCAGGACACCTTCAGGACACCTCCAGACCCCCAGGACATTCCCAGGACACCTCCAGACCCCCAGGACACCCCCAGACCTTCAGGACACCCCCAGACCCCCAGGACCCCCCTCCCTGCCCTTCCCTCACCTGGGCTGCCCTTCTCGCTCCCCGCCGAGCCAAACTCTGCCGACTGCAGCTGCGAGGGGACAGGGACGGGGACAAGGTCACAGGGTGACCCCAGCCCCCTGAGCGGGCGGGGGGACCCCGGGCAGGGGGGGGGACAGCCGAGAGCCGCTTACCCGGGTGAGGGTGCTCCGGCCGGAGGCGGGGAGGGAGGAGCTCTTGGAGCTCGTGTGGAGCGCTGAGAGAGAGGCAGAGACCGTCAGGGACAGGCAGGGACATTTGGGGACAGGCAGGGATGGGCAGGGATGGGCAGGGACATTCAGGGACCTCTGGGGACATTCAGGGACCTCTGGGGACATCCGGGGACAGGCAGGGATGGGCAGGGACCTCTGGGGACATTCAGGGACAGGCAGGAACAGGCAGGGATGGGCAGAGACCATCATGGACATTTGGGGACATTCAGGGATGGGCAGGAATGGGCAGGAACAGGCAGGGACCTTTGGGGACAGGCAGGGATGGACAGGGATGGGCAGGGACCATCAGGGACCATCAGGGACCTTTAGGGACAGACAAAACCACACCACAACGGACAGGGACAGGCAGGGATGGGCAGGGACCTTTAGGGACAGGCAGGGATGGACAGGAACCATCAGGGATGGGCAGGGACCACCAGGGGCAGGCAGGGACCTTTGGGGACAGGCAGGGATGGACAGGGATGGGCAGGGACCATCAGGGACCTTAAGGGACAGACAAAAACACACCACAACGGACAGGGACAGGCAGGGATGGGCAGGGACCACCAGGGGCAGGCAGGGACCTTTAGGGACATTTAGGGCCAGGCAGGGATGGATACGGATGGGCAGAGACTGTCAGGGACCTCATGGGACCGTCAGGGATGGGCAGGGACTTTTAGGGACATTTGGGGACAGGCAAGGACCATGAGGGACCATCAGGGACAGACAGGGACAGACAGGGATGGGCAGGGACAAGCAGGGACGGGCAGGGACCATCAGGGATGGGCAGGGATGAGCAGGGACGGGCAGGGACCATCAGGGATGGGCAGGGACGAGCAGGGACGGGCAGGGACCATCAGGGATGGGCAGGGACGAGCAGGGGTGCAGGCAGGGAATCGGGGGGTGCAGGTGGGATTTGGGACATACAGGTGGGATTTGGGAAGTGCAGGCAGGATTTGGGGGATAGAAGGGGTGCAGGTGAGATTTGGGGGATAGAAGGGGTGCAGGCAGGATTTGGGAGGTGCAGGTGGGATCTGGGGATAGAAGGGGTGCAGGCACCCAGAGATGAGGAGGGAAAGGGCCGGCATCCAGAACGATCCCACTCACACGTGTGGAAAGGCGTCCGGTCCGGCAGCGAGCGAGTTTTCCTCCGGATCGGGAGCGACTTCTCCATCTCCTCCTTCAGGATCAGCTTCCCGAGGTTGGAGGTGACCTGGCAACCGGGGGACACCCGTTGGGATCGGTGCCAGGCACCCCCAGCCCCTCAGAGCTGCCGCCCCGCCCCTGACCTTGCTCAGCTCCTGCCGCTGGAGCTCCCGCAGGTTCTTCATCTCCTCCGTCAGATCCTCATCCTCCTCCTCCCCTCTCTTGGACGCCATCCTCCTCCTCCACTCGGTCTCTGCGGGGAGAGGGATGTTCCAGCCATGTTCCAGCCGTTCCCAGCCCTCCCTGGGGGCTCCAGGAGGGACAACCCCGCGGTGCCACCTACCCACGACGGCCAGCGACGGCGGGCAGGGCCAGTAGTCGGTCTCGATCTTGGCGGGCTGGTTGGGATCCGGGGGCTGCGCCGCCGGGAATTTGGAGGATTCGATGATCAGGTCCTCGATGAGGTGCTTCCCGTGGTGGGCGCTGGAATGGTGGTCTGGGGGCACGGCGGGGGTGAGGCAGCAGCCCGGGGTGCCCCATCCCGTGGGGTGGAGCCCCCCGCACTCACCTCTCTGCCGGTAGATCGGGGGCTTCTTGTAAATGTTGAGCTCTGTGGTGTCGGTCTCTGGGAGGAAAAAGGGATTTGGGGTTGGGAGGGGGAAGTCATGGGGTTGGGAATGGGAGTTCGTGGGATTGGGGGCTCATGGGGTTGGGAATGGGAACTCATGGGATTGGGAGTTTATGGGAATGGGAGTTTATGGGATTGGGAATGGGAGCTTGTGGGGTTGGGAATGGGAACTCATGGAACTGGGGGCTCATGGGATTGGGAATGGGAGTTCATGGGGTTGGGGGCTCATGGGGTTGGGAATGGCAGCTCCTGGGAATGGGAGTTTATGGGAATGGGAATTTATGGGATTGGGAATGGGAGCTCGTGGGGTTGGGGGCTCATGGGGTTGGCAATGGGAGCTCCTGGAGTTGGGAGGGGGAACTCATGGGAACTCAAGGGATTGGGAATGGGAGCTCAAAAGATTGGGAGGGGGAGATCATGGGGTTGGGAATGGGAGCTCATGGGATTGGGAATGGGAGCTTGTGGGGTTGGGAGGGGGAACTCATGGGAACTCAAGGGATTGGGAATGGGAACTCATGGGATTGGGGACTCATGGGATTGGGAATGGGAGCTTGTGGGGTTGGGAGTGGGAGATCATAAGGTTGGGAATGGGAACTCAAAGGATTGGGAATGGGAGCTCAAAAGATTGGGAGTGGGAGATCATGGGGTTGGGAATGGGATTTCAGGGAGTTGGGAACGGGAACTGATGGAGTTGGAAGAGGGAGCTCATTGGATTGGGATTGGGAATTCATGGGAATGGGAACTGATGGGGTTGGGAATAGGACCTAATGGGACTGGGAGTGGGAGCTCATGGGGTCAGGAGAGGGAGCTCATGGGAATGGGAGCTCATGGGATTAGGAATGGAAGTTTATGGGGTTGGGAACACATGGGGTTGGGATTGGGTGCTCATGGGGTTGGGAACAGAAACTCATGGGAATGGGAGCTCATGGGGTTGGGAACGGGAACTCATAGGGCTGGGAACACGTAGGATTGGGACTGGGAGCTCATGGGGTTGGGAATGGGAACCGATGGGGTTGGGAACAGAAACTCATGGGAGCAGGAGCTCATGGGGTTTGGAGTGGGAGCTCGTGGGGCTGGGAAGGGGCTCCAGGACACCGTGTGAGGCTCAGGCAGCGCGGGGGTCCCGCTCGGGGGTCCCGCTCGGGGGTCCCGCTCGGGGTCCTTACCGGGCCGGTGGAAGTGCTGGACGCTGCTGCGGGTGGGGGCAGGGCCCTGGCGCGAGGGGGGCAGCGGGGTGCTGCTGGGGGGGCGGCTCTCCAGCCACTCCCGGATGACCTGCGGGAAAACGGGATGGGGCTCAGCGGGACCCCTCCCCACCCCAGCAGCACCCCCTCCTCCCACAGCCCAGCAGAGCCCGCACTCACCTCTGGAGATGGAGGAGGAGACATGGATTTGGGAGACAGGGAGCGCTGCAGAAGGCAAGGATTGACTTAATTTTAATTACATTTTAATTTATTTTAATTAAATTGATTTAATTTTTAATTTATTTTAATGAAATTTATTTAATTTTTAATTTACTTTAATTTATTTTATTTTATTTTTAATTTATTTTAATTAATTAAATTTATTTTAAATTAATTTTATATTTTTATAATCTATTATGTTATTTATAATAAAATTTTATTAATTTATTTTTAATTTATTGCTTTATTTTAAAGTTTATTTTATTTTAATTTTATTAATTTTATTTAATTTATTTTATTTATTTTATTTTAATTTAAATTTATTTTCAAATTAATTTTAATTAATTTTAATTAACTTCATGTTTTTTACTGAATTTTAACAATTTTAATAACCTTCACAAGCTCTTACAAATCACAATGAATTTTAATCAATTAATTTATTGCCTTATTTTAATTTTTATTTTATTTTAATTTTATTAATTTAATTTTATTTTATTTTAATTTGAATTTTTAAAAAATTAATTTGAATTAATTTTAATTAACTTCATGTTTTTCACTGAATTTTAGCAATTTTAATAACCTTCACAAGCTCTTACAAATCACAATGAATTTTAATCAATTTCAGATATTTTTCTGCTAGAATTTTTTCCTATTATTCCAGAATTCTATTCCACCTCAGCGATCCTTCTATCCAGGTGGGATCCTCCCAAAAACCCCCCAGGGAATCCCCCCTCACCTCCCGGCTGCGGGGCAGCTCCACGTGCTCCATGAGCGAGTAGGTGAAGTGGGGCTCGTAGATCATCAGGTCGGGGCGCTCGATGTCCAGGATGGCCTTGTCCTTGGGGATGGCAGCCAGGTCCTTGTAGCCCAGGACCTCGTTGTCCATTTTGGCCTGGGAGGAGGGAAAATGTCTTCATTTGGGGCGAAGGAAGGAAGGAAGGAAGGAAGGAAGGAAGGAAGGAAGGAAGGAAGGAAGGAAGCCTTCATTTGGGGCTCAGAAAGGAATTTTTATGAGGTCCTCATAGCCCAGGACCTCATTGTCCATTTTGGTCTGGAATGAAGAGAAAAAATCTTCATTTGGGGTGCAGAAGGAATTTTTTTATGAGGTCCTGTATCCAGAACCTCGTTGTCTATTTTGGCGTGGAAAGGAGGGAAAATGCTTTTATTTGGGATGCAGCAAGGAATTTTTTACAAGGTACTCATAGCCAAGGACCTCGTTGTCCATTTTGGCCTAGAATGAAGGAAAATGCCTTTATTTGGGGTGCAGAAGGGGATTTTTTACAAGGTCCTTTTATCCCAGGACCTCGTTGTCCATTTTGGCCTGGAATGAAGGAAAAACATCTTCATTTGGGGCACAGAAAGGAATTTTTATGAGGTCCTCATAGCCCAGGACCTCATTGTCCATTTTGACATGGAATGAAGGGAAAACACCTTCATTTGGGGTAAAGAAGGGAATTTTTTATGTGGTCCTGTAGCCCAGGACCTCGTTGTCCATTTTGGCCTGGGAGGAGGGAAAACGCCTTCACTTGTTGTGCTGAGGGGGATTTTTGGGAATGGGGAGGGTTCATTCCCTGCACGGCAGTGCCAGGGGGATGGAGAGGGTTTGGGGAGATCACATCCCGACCGCAGGGATTCAGGGATGAGCGGGAAGGTGGGAACAGCTCCTTACCACGATGCTGGAGGGAGAGCCGGGAACGCTGGATCCGCGGGAAGAGCAGACGCTCCCAGGGGAGGTCAGAGGCTGCTGGGTGCAAAAGTGGGGGGGTTTCAGCCCAGGAAGGGGCTCGGGGGTGTGCTGGGGGGGCAGGGGGCACCCCTGTGCCCGCGGAGCCCGCATTCCTTGCGGATGGGATGGGCAGGGGCCAGCGGGGAGGGGACAGCGGCTCGGCCAGGACGCGCTGCCGCTAGATGGTGCTGCCAGGCTGGGCTGGGGACGAGGAGGAGGAGGAGGAGGAAGGCAAGGCCCTGCTCACAGCAGCCTGTGCCCTTGGCCCCCAGCCCCGTGTGCCCTCCCTGCGTGCGGGGCTCCCCCTTCTCCCACACCCTGCCAGGACCCCCAGCACCTCCCGGACCCTGCCAGGACCCCCAGCACCCTGCCAGGACCCCCAGCACCTTTCCCTGGACCTCCCAAACCTTCTCTGGACCCCCAGCACTTTCCCTGTACCCCCAACATCCTGCCAGGACCCCCAGCACCTCCAGCACCCTGACAGGACCTCCAGCACCCTGCCAGGACCCCCAGCATCTTTCCTGGACCCCCAACACCCTTCCCTGGACATCCAAAACCTTTTCTGGACCCCCAGCACCTTCCTGGACCCCCAGCACCCTGTTCTGTACTCCCAGAACTTTTTCCACGCCCCCAGCACTTTCTCTGTACCCCCAATATCCTTTCTTGGACCCCCAAGACCTTCCTTGGACCCCTAACACCCAGTTCTGCACCCCCAGCACCCCCTCTGGACCCCCATGACATTCCCAGACCCCCAACACCCTGTTCTGGACCCCCAATGCCCAATTTTGTACCTCCAGCATCCAGTTCTGGATCCCCAACACTGTCCTTGGACCCCCAACACCCAGTTCTGGACCCTCAGAACCCTGTTTGGGGCCCCCAATGCCCAGTTCTGGACCCCCAGCACCCTCCTTGGACCCCCAGCACCCAGTTCTGGACCCCAACACGCTCCCTGGACCCCCAAGACCCCGCAGACCCCCGAGCCCTTCCCCGCCCCCTCACCTTCTGCAGTCTTTCCATTCAGCTGGGGCCGGCCGGGCTGTGTCAGTCACGGGCTCCTGTGGGCACAGCGGGGCTCTGGGCACTGCCAGGGCGGGCACCGAGCCCCCGGCCGGGGGTCCCAGCTCCCACCGCCCCCCTGGCGCGGCTGAGCCCCGCCGGGCACGAGGGTGGCACGTCCCCAGTGCCAGACATGGCTGTGCTGGCAGCAGGACACGCGTGGCAGGGGATGCCACTGGACAGGGAGGGACAGGCAGGGGCAGGGAGGGACAGACAGGGACACAGAGGGGACAGGGAAGGGACAGGCAGGGACAGACACAGGACAGGGAGGGGACAGGGAGGGACAGGCGAGGGGACAGGTGGGGACAGGAAGGGGACAGGGAAGGACAGGCAGAGACATGAAGGGGACAGGCAGGACAGGGAGGGGACAGACAGGGACACACAGGGGACACACATGGGACAGGCAGGGGACAGGTGAGGGACAGGCAGAGATAGGGAACGGGTAGGCAGGGACAGGCAGGGGACAGAGAGGGGACAAGGAGGGACAGGCAGGGAACGGGCAGGGGAGAGACAGGGATAGGCACAGGGAGGGGACAGGCAGGGATAGGCAGAGACAGGCAGGGGACAGGCAGGGACTGGCACAGGGAGGGGACAGCGGGGACCCCGCACTCACCGCTGCCTCTGTGGCTCCACATCCCTCTGGGCGCCGACGCCGGGCTCGGGTGTTCCCTCTGCAGGGAGAGGACAGAGCTGGCGGTGACCCGCAGGGCGAGCGAGGGACAAGCCTCCCCTTGTCCCCACGCTGTCCCCCGTGCCGGCTGCGTGGCCCTGCCCGCTGGCTGCTGACGGTGCTGGCCGGCGGAGCGGGGCCGGTGTCGCCCTTTTGTCCCGCGGCCTCCAGAAGGCTCCAGCGGATCGGGACGGGCTCGGCCCCCGGAGCCCCCGGGGCCCGGGCCTGGCCGCGCTCTGGAGCCACAATGCGGCGCACAAAGGGGAAAATTCCCCATTCTGCTCCCAACTTCTCCTTTCAGAAGGGAGGGATTGGGGAAAGCTCGCGGGGGCCGGGCGGTGACAGCGACAGCGACAGCAGAACGAGCAGCTCCGGCCCTGAGCCCCAACCCTGCAGGGCACGGGGGTGGCACCGCCTTTGGGGACACCAACCCCGCTGTCCGAGCTCAGAACTCGCTCCCGTGGGACGCGGGGATGGAGCGGGAGCAGATCCCAGCGACCCCGGAGCATCCTCGGGCTGCCGGAGGAGGGGGCTCTGCCCGCAGCTCCGCGCCCCCTCCCTGGAGCCCCCCCGCCACAAAGACCCCCCAGATTTGTCCCTGACGCGGGGTTTAACGGGGCCCCCCACCCCCAGGACCCCCCCGGGGACCGGTGGGGTGTCACCCCCGGCGCGGCACAAGGCTGGCCTTGTCCGGGCGGGCACTGCCCTGAGCTCACACTTTCCAGCGCCCGGGCCAGCCTTGCCCCCCGCCCCCGGTGGCGCTCGGGACGGCGGCGGGGACGCGGTGGCAGCGAGCAGATGGAGGCGATGGCGGAGAACGGGAGCGCGGGGAGGGCGGGTGCGGGGAAGGAAAACAAACCCGAGCCGGGGCTGCGGAGAGAGACGCCACAAAACCGGCGAGGGGTGCCAGGCCTGCGCCACCACCCCGGCCACGGTGCCCCCCCGCTCCGGGGACGCGGGGACAGCTTATCGGGCGCGGGCAGGGAGCCACCGCCCCGATGGCAGCCGCGTTCCCCATGGCAACCTCCAATCTCCCCGCGGGCCCGCGGCCGGCTCCGCGCCTGGCCCGCGATAAGGGCGGCTCGGCTGTTTGGGATTTTCCTGGCCAGGAGGGCGAGGGGGAGCGGGGACAGCGCGGGGGGGGCGCAGGGGGCGCAGCGTGTCCCCCTCGCAGGGAGATGCTGAGGGGAGGGAAAGGAGCCGGGCAGGGAGCGTGGGAAGAGGAAGGAAGGATGGATGGATGGACGGACGGACGGACAGGACACGCCCGGGCGGGGCTCACCGGGATGGAGGGGGGCTGTCGCCCCCCCGTGAGGGGAGCCAGGGCTGCGCTGCCGCGGGAAGAGGCCGGTTCCCTCCTCCCCACCCCGAGGAAATCCGGATTTGACTTTTCGCAGCCGCCAAAGCCATCAGCGCCCGGCCCCGCGCCAGGGGCCAGGCCGTGAGAACCCCCCCACGGCCCGGGGGGCGGCGGGAGGGGACCCCCAGCCTTCCTCCATCACCCTCCTCACCCTCCCTTCCCTGCCCGTGCCACCGTGTGCCCGAATCGTGGCGCGGCTGGCGGCCAGCAGCGACAAGGGGGGACACCTGGGGTCACAAGTTCCCTGAACAGACGGTTCCCGCCAGCCCTGGAACGGTGTCCGGTGCTTCCCAGCCCAGCCCCGGCCTCCTCCTCCTCCTCCTCCTCCTCCTCCCACCGCAAGCTCGGAACAAACAGCGCAGGCGAGGCCCGGAGCATCCTCGCCGCTCACCGGGGAAACCGAGGCACCGCCACACGCGGGGCCCCACCGGCAACCTGATCGCGACAGCGGCGAGCCACGGGCAGCTCGCGGGTCCCCGAGCCGCGGCCCGCCGGTGTCCGGTTCCTCCTTTGTCCTGTTTGCGCCGCTGCCATCCCCGCGGCAGCGAGCCCGTGCCTATCGATCGCTCCCGGGCACCTCGGTGGCCTCAAAAGCCACCAGCTGCCAGCCCCGGGCGATTTTCCGTGGCTGGCATGGAGCTGCCGCGGGCACGGCGATGCTCCGTGCCTCAGTTTCCCTGGATGGGGGGGTAACAACAACCCGCCCGCCCCATCCCGGGGCGGATGGAGATGAAGGAGGCATTTCCACCTCCTCGGGTCCTCCCATCCGCGGAATCCGGGCCAACGCCGCTGTCCCCCGGCCCTGCCAGGAGACCCGAGCCCCGCGGAGAGGGGGGAGACATGAGCTGAACCCCAAAACTGCCGGGGATGGCGGGGGGCTCCTTGCCCGCCCCCCTGCCCCGATGGCCACCCCGCAGCCCGCTCGGGCCGCGCCTCACGTGGCTCGTAATCCGGGATTAACGCGGGATTAGCCTGCTCATCCCGCACGCGGAGGGACCCGCTGCGGATGTGTGAGCGGGCCGCGCCCTCGGGGCTCCGCCGGGGGTTTGGGGGAGCCCCCGCACCCCAAAATCCCCCCCGGTTCTGCCAGTCCTGGGTTCGGCCCCACGGCACGCCCAGCATTGGGGACCCCGTGTGGGGGCCTGGGCACCCCAAAACCGCGCCTGGGGGCAGCCGGGGGGGGTCACACCTGACAGGACAGTGGGAGGCGGTCGGGGGTCCCGAGGGGGCGGGTGGTGGCCCTGGAGCGAGCCCAGCCTGGCCACCCCCCTGCATGCCCACACCCCCCGAGACGGCGCCATCCCTGGACAAGAGATGGGGGGCACGCCCCAAATTTGTCCCCCAAATTCTCCCCCTAAATCACCCCCGATGCTCCCTGGAGGTGGGGAGGAGGAAATTTGGCCTCTCCAGGCTCTGCCAGGGGGGTTGGGGCTCCCCAAAATCCCGTGTCGGCGGCGACCAGCACGGCCAGGGAACATCAAACCCTTCCCGGGGGGGTGGGATTGGGGGGTGCCCCCCCAGCAGCAGCGCTGAGACCCCACAAATTCCCTCCTCAGGTGGGGCTGGGCAGGGCTGGGCACTCCCGGCCTCCTCCCGCGGCACCCGCGGTGCCCGTGGCGATGTCCCCGGGGAAGGGGCACGGGGGTGTCCCGGGGGGGCTCGGGGCGGTGTCCCCGCCCTTCCCGCAGCCGGCTGTGGGGACGAGGTGGGCGACAAAATGTGGGGCACCCCCGACCCGCCCCACCCCCGGGAGCGGCGGCACCGAGAAAGCGACGGGAAAACGGAGAGCGGCCCCCCCGCACCCCCAGCCTGTCCCCAGCCTGTCCCCAGCCTGTCCCCAGCCCTGTCCCCAGCCCTGCCGGCCCCGCACTCACCTAAGGCCGGGCACACCGCATCCCTCCGGCCGCGGGGGGATGCCCGGGGCTCGCTCGCTCTGCCGGGGCTGCGGCGCATCCGAGCGGGGCGCGGGCGAGCCTATCAGCCCCGGCAGCCCCGGCCCCGATAACGCGGCCGGGCGGCGTGCGGGGGAGGCTGCGGGAGCGCGCCTGGAGGCTGCGGGAGTGCGCGGCTCCCGGAGGGGGGGTGGCGGCCGCGGGGGTGCCGCTCGCCCGTCCCCAGCTCGCTGCTGGCTCAGTCCCTTTCCCAACAAGAGGAGAATTAGCCGGCATCATGACGAAGCAGTATTGGCCGCCGCTCCTCCCGCTCGCCCGGCACAAAGAGGGAGGAAAACAGGAATAACCCGGCCTGCCCCGCTGCCGGGGGCAGCCGGAGCCCCCGCGCCCCCCCAGCCCCCGCTGGGCACCGGGCGCGGCAGCCCCCGCCTCCCCCGCAGCCCCTCGGGGGGATTTGGGCACCCCCAGCCCCTCTCGGGGGGGCTGAGCGCCTCGCGGGGCTGCGGCAGCGTGGGGAGGGGGCTGGGGGTGGCAGCTCCCGCCCGAGCCACCCCCAGGCTGGGTCTGGGGGTGCTGTGCCCACCCCTCGCTGCCCCGGGAGGGGGAATCCAGCGGGAATTTCCATCCGCGGCACCGGCGCAGCCCAGGGAGGGGTGGGAGGCGCTGGGAATCTGCCAAAACCGAGCGCTGGGCTCTGGCCGCTGATGCCCGCACGCCCCGATCCCCCCCAAACCCTGGGGGTCGCGGTCCAGCCCCGGCCCGGGGGAAGGGCTGGGCAGGGCGGGGGGGCTGCGGCCACCTCCATCCCTCTGGAGCCTCTCGGAGCCACATCCCGGTGTCCCGGCACCCGGCACGGGAGCGGAGCCGCGGCCGGACCCCGCCGGGGGCGGCGGGGCTGCGTTGGTGCCGCAGCGCCGGGAGCCGGAGTCTATTCCCGGCTCTGTGTGGGAGCGCTGCCTGGCGACAGCAGCGCCCGTGCTGGGGCTCCTCCTCGCTGCTTCTGCTCTTCGCTGCCTCAGTTTCCCCCCGCCCGGCTCAGCAAAGGGCTGCTGGACCCCTCAGATGCACATCTGGGGGGCGATGGACACGCAGGGGAGGCAGAGCCCGGGGATGGAGCCCGGGGTGCACATCTGGGGGGAGGCAGGCCCGGAGGTGAACATCTGGCGGGGATACACGCCCAGGGGGATGCACACGCGTGTCCTTCAGCGCCAGCGCCGGCCTGGCTCGCCGGAGCATCCCGGCCCGGGCTCCGCCGCGCCGCCGTCCCCCCGCACCCGGGGGGGCTCCGCGGCCCCCGCCGCCCCCCGGGGCCGTGCCCGTGAACAATCGCGGCCGCCTCTCCCCCGCCGCTAGGGGTCCGGCCCTACCTTCAGGGGAGCCCATGGCCCGCCGCAGGCTGCGCTGCCGCTCCGCCGGGAGCCAGCCCCGCGCCGAGCATCGCCGACCGCCCCTGCGCCGCACGCGCGTTGCCACAGCGACCGCCCCCCGCCCGCCGCACCGGGAGCGGCTCCGGGATGGGCACCGGGAGCGGGAGAGGCCTCGGGCTTCGGCGAGGGGCGGAGGAGGCGCAGGAGCGTCCTGGGGATTCACAGGGGGAGGAGAGAGGGCAGGACAAGCCTGGGGATTTAGCGAGGGATGGAGGAGGTGCAGGACAACCTCTGGATGCTTAGAGGGATGGAGGGAGTGCAGGAAAATCCTCTGGATGCAGAGAGGGATGGAGGAGTGCAGGGGCACCCTTCGCCCTCAGCAAGGGATGGAGGAGTTCAGGATAAACCTCTGGATTTCATGTGGGATGGAGGAGGTGCAGGAAAATCCTCTGGATGCTCAGAGGGATGGAGGGAGTGCAGGACAGTACTGTGGATTCGGAGAGGGATGGAAGAGGTGCAGGACAAACCTCTGGGTGCACAGAAGGATGGAAATGGTGCAAGAAAATCCTGTGGATTTAGTGAAGGAGGGAGGAGGTGCAGGACAATCCTTTGGCCTCAGAGAGGAATGGAGAAATGCAGAGGCATCCTTTGGCCTCAGTGAGGGATGAGGGAGTGCAGGACAAATCTCTGGATGCTCAGAGGGATGGAAGGAGTGCAAGACAACCCTGTGGCTTTTGTGAGAGATGGAGGGAGTGCAGGACAATCCTCTGGATTCAGTGAGGGATGGAGGAGTGCAGGGGCATCCTTTGGCCTCAGAGAGGGATGGAGAACATGCAGGAAAATCCTCTGAATTTAGTGAGGGATGGAGGGAGGGCAGGAGCGTCCTTCAGCCTTCACAGAGGGATGGAGAACATGCAGCACAATCCTCTGGGTGCACAGAGGGGTGGAAAGAGTGCAGGACAATGCCCTGGACACACAGAGGGGTGCAGGAGGTGCAGGAGCATCCCTTGGCCTCCCCACCCTGCAGGATGTGCCTGGGGAGCATTCCCCCATTCCCAGGGGACACGCCCCAGGGGACACCAGCCCTGGCACCTCACAGTGGCACCCCTGTGCCGTGGCTGGAGGCAAGGACAGGGGTTTGGGCGGGCAGGGGGTGGCACCCAGCACCTCTGCAGCCAGGGGGGCTCCGGGGAGGTGCCCTCGGCCCCCCCGGGCACCCCCAGCCCCCGGGAGAGGCTGGCAGCAGACACCTCCAGGTCCTTTCTGCGCAGAGCACGTTCCTGTCCCCCCCAGGGCTCACCTCAAAAACAAGGAAGAAGCCATGGCAGGAGTTTTTTTCTCTCTCCTTCTCCAGCCTTAATTAAACAAGACTCACCTTCCCGAGCCTTTTCTATCCCAGGAGGTCAAGAAGAAAGAGAGGGGAGGAAGGGGAAAAACCCTGAGAGAAAAGAGAGGAAGGGCTTGGGAAGGAGGAGAGAGAGGAGGGGAAAAAAAAAAGGGGGACAGGGGAAAAATTAAAGCCGAGATGACACCAAGGGAGCTCCTCGACCTTTGAAGCTTTGGCTGAACTGGGGAGGGGGTGACGGGGCAGGGAGAGCGCAGACCCAGCCTGCTCCTTTCTCAAAACCTGGAGGATGGTGGGGAGGGGGCACCGCAGTGGGGTCGGGGGCTTCTCCTCCTCCTCCTCTTCTTCTTCTCCCTCCGGCACTGGGGGGCTCTGGGAACCCCCGCCCCTCGCAGGGGGAGGCCGGGGGTCCCCCCGGACACCCTTTGCTGGCCAGGGAGGTGAAAATACCCGATAAATACCCGCTGCAGGGAGCCGGGGAACCGGGGGGGTCAAACCGCCCTGGGGGGGTCCCCGAGGGGCAGCACGAGGGAGGGGGATCCATGCGGAGCTCACCCGTGCCTCAGTTTCCCCGCAGCGAGGCAGAAGCAGCAGGGAGCCCACCCCTCATCCGCAGGAGGGTGGGGGGCCAAATTCCTTAAAACCAACCCAAACTGGGCAGGAATTCAGCCCAACCCCACTTTGCAGCCCCCCCAAACCCACAAACGGGGCAGGGCCCGGCTCTGGAGCCCCTCCAAAAATCCCAGCCAAGTCAGTGGCACCCCACCCTGTCCCCCCAATCCCCCTCTGTCCGGGGTGGGGGGCAGCCCTGTCCCCCCAAATCCAGCTGGGGGTGCTCCCAGAGCAGCACGGGGATCCAGGAGTGCAAAATGTGCTTTATTTTGGGAACGACACCACCACCACCACCAGCTGCCGCCTGCAAGGCAAGGAGGAAAAGGGGATTTTAGTGGGGTGACCCCGCTGTGGGCTCGGAGCAGCCCCCAGGCCCCCCCAGCTCCGGGCTGGTGCCCCCTCCTCACCTGGACAGAATTCCCGTCATTTCTTGGCCGCTGCTTTCCTGCCCCGGCCGGCTCCGCGTCCCTGCGGAAAGGGGAGGGGGCTGAACGCGGGGGGAGCCCCCAAATCCGCGCTGTTCCCCCGGTTTTGGGGGCAGCGGCTGCACCCCGACCCTTGCCTGCCCCCCGAGCCCCCGGCCCGTTATCCCGAGGGATTTGGGGGGCAGGGGCTGCTCCTACCTTGGCGGGCGGGGGACCCGCGGGGGCGAGGCTGTTCCTGCTCGGAGAGAAGCGGGGTTGGGGTGGGGGTCCCGGCCGGGGGGACCCCCCCAGCCCCAGGGTTTTCATACTCACGGCTCCTCCTCCTTTTCCCGCTTCCTTTTCTACGGGAGACAGAAAGAGACGGACGCTGGGGGCTCTTCCTCGCCGGGGGATGAAGGCTGCGGCTCATCCCCGTCACGGAGAGGAATTTGGGGTGCCCGCCCCCCTTCCCCGAGCCGCAGGGACCCCAAAACCCCCGCGGCCCCCCCTCAGGCGCTGACCTTGGCAGTGCTGCCCTTCTGGGCGCCCGAGCCCTTGGGGGGCTTCTTGGGGGCTTCCTCTGCCGCTTCCTCCTCCTCTTCCTCATCCTCCTCATCCGAGGTCAGGTCCATGACTGCGGGAGAGGCTGGATGAGCCCCGGGACCCCGATACCCACGGGGGGTTCAGGGGACACCCCGACACCCACGGGACACGCAGAGGGGGTTCAAGGGGTTGGAGGGACCCCGATACTCACTGGACAGGTGGGAGGAGGGGTCAGGGGCTGGGGGACACCCCAATATTCACTGGACACGTGGAGGGGACCCCCATACTCACTGGACGTGGGGAGGGACACCCTGATACTCCCTGGACACACTGGGGGGGCAGGGGGACCCCGATACTCACTGGACACGTGGGGGACACCCCAATACTCACTGGATATGCAGGGGGGGTTCAGGGGCTGGGGGACACCCCGATACTCACTGGACCCCCCAATACTCACTGGACACGTGTGGGGGCTCGGGGACCCCCCGGTACTCACTGGACACACAGGGGGGCTCAGGGGACCCCCCGGTACTCACTGGACACCCCAATACTCACTGGACACGTGCTGGCCGCTGACGAAGAGCGGCCCGGAGCCGGCGCGCAGGCGGAAGGTCACCGGGGGGGTCAGCTCCACTCCGGCCAGCGAGGCCTGGGGGGCGGGGGGACACAATTCCTGACAGCCCCCCGGGACAGGAGCACCCCCAGACCCCTCCCCGGGGCAGGAGCAGCCCCCAGACCCCTCCCCGGGGAAGCCCCCAGGGCAGCAGCAGCCCCTGAAGCCCTCCCTGGGGCAGCCCCCAGACCCCTCCTGGGGACAGGAGCAGCCCCCAGACCCCTCTCGGGACAGCCCCCAGGACAGGAGCAGCCCGCCGAGCCCTCTCCGGGGCAGGACCCCCATCTCCCCTCCCCAGGACAGCCCCCGGAGCAGCCCCCAGTCCCCGGAGCCCTCCTGGCAGAGCCCCCAGACCCCTCCCCGGGACAGGAACAGCCCCTAGGGCAGCCCCCAGACCCCTCCTCAGGACAGGAACAGCCCCTGGGGCAGCCCCCAGACCCCCGAGACAGCCCCCAGACCCTTCCCTGGGGCAGGAACAGCCCCTAGGGCAGCCCCCAGACCCCCGAGACAGCCCCCAGACCTTTCCCTGGGGCGTGACGCACCGTGCGCAGCACCAGCTGCTGCTCGCAGTGCCAGTCCTCGGTGACTCGGAAGGTGCAGGAGCTCCTGGCGCTGCTCAGCTCGCACCCTGCGGGGACAGGAGGCGACAGCAGGGGACAGAGCCACCCTCGGCGGGGGTCCCCGACATCCGGGGGGGGGACAGCCGGGGTGGGGCGGGGGCGGCACTCACCCCAAAGCACGGACACGGGTCTGTCGGAGCCGCTGTCGGTGCTGTCGGTGAAGGACATGGCCGGGGGAGGGGGGGTGACACGGCCTGGGGGGGACACGCGGAGCTGTGGGACCCCAAAACCTCGGGATCCCCGCCCCAAAAACTTCGGGACCCCAGAACCTCGGGACCCCCGCCCCACAACACTCACCCACAGCAGCACCGCAGCTCTCAGCACCGGGGGAACCCCACAAACAACGGGGCCACCCCCACCGGGGCACTTATGGGGTCACGGGGACCCCGCCCCCCCCCCCCCCGGAATGAGGCCGCGCTGTTAATTGGTTAATTACCCCCTTCAGGTGGGGGCGCTGATGAGCGCCGGCAGCCCGCACGCCGTGTGACGGGTCACCGTGTGTGACAGGTCACCGTGTGTGACATCCCTGCCCGGAGTGTCCCCGTGCCCTGTGGGTCCCTCGATGTCACCTGTGCCCCCCCGTGTTCTCCTGTGTCCCCTCACGTCACCCGTGTCCCCTCGCCTCGCGTGTCCCCCGTGCTGTCCCGTGTCCCTCGATGTCACCCCGTGCTCGCTCCATGTCACCTCGTGTCCCTATGGCCCGCGTGTCCCCATATGTCCCTTACCCCGCGTGTCCCCTCCGTGTCCCCGGGTGTCGCCCACCCCACGTGCTGTCCTGTGTCCCTCCATGTCCCCCCGTCCTTCACGTCCCCTCGTGTCCCTGCGCTCCCAGTGTCCCCCCGTGCTGTCCTGAGTCCCCTGATGTGCCGCCCCACGTGTCCCCTGTCTCCCTCTTGTCCCCACTCTGTCCCCCGCGTGTCCCCCCCACCGTGTCCCCCCTCTG